TAGAGAAATGCAAATCAAAACCATTCTAAGATTTTTCTCACTCCAGTCAGAATGGCAGCTATTATGCATACAAACAACAATAAGTGTTGGCGAGGATGTGGGGAAAAAGGTACACTCAAACATTGTTGGTGGGACTGCAAACTGGTACAGCCAATATGGAAAGCAGTATGGAGATTTCTTGAAAATTGGGAATGGAACCACCATTTGACTCAGCTATCCCTCTCCTTGGTCTATACCCAAAGGACTTAAAAACAGCATACTACAGGGACACAGCCACATCAATGTTTATAGCAGCACAATTCACAATAGCTGAACTGTGGAACCAACCTAGATGCCCTTCAATAGACGAATGGATAAAAAAAAATGTGGCATAATACACAATGGAATATTACTCAGCAATAAAAGAGAATAAAATCATGGCATTTGCAGGTAAATGGATGGAGTTAGAGAAGATAATGCTAAGTGAAGTTAGCCAATCCCCAAAAACCAAATGCTGAATGTTTTCTCTAATAGAAGGAGGCTGATTCATAGTGGGGTAGGAACAGGGAACATGGAAGGAATAGACAAACTCTAGATAAGGCAGAGGGCTTGAAGGGGAAGGGAGGGGCATGGGGTTAGAACAATGAGGGAATGTGATGATCATTATTATCCAAAGTATACATGTAAAGACACAAATTGGTGTGAATATACTGTGTATACAACCAGAGATATGAAAATTTGTTCTCTATATGTGTAATAAGAATTATAATGCATTCCACTGTCATATATAAATAAAAAAATATTATTCAAAGGAATGAAATACTGATGTAAGCTACAACATGGATGAACCTTGAAAACATTATATTACGTAAAAGAAGCAAGTCACAAAAACTTATATTAATGATTCTGTTTTTATGAAATGTCTAGAATAGACAAATTCATAGAGACAAAGGGCAGATTAGTGGCATCTTAAGCTTGGGAGTAATGGGAGGTATTAGGAAATGAGAGCTAAAGAATAAGGGATTTGGGTTCCATATCTCTCTTTAAGGTACCAATGTTTCAGCTGAAACTTGAAGAGTAGATTGAAATGTAAATGTTGGTTTATTTGTCAATGATAAGTTCAAAATAAGCAGTTTCATACACTGAAGTGAAAAATCAAAAAAAAACTATAAAACTCTAAAGAGAAAATAATTTCAAGAAATAGAGTAACCTCCATCAGTTCCTATAACATGATATGCAAAGTCCAAAATATTCAAATCAGTGAAATATAGGGATAAGTCATTATAAATTTAATGAAATGCACTGGAAGAGCCTACTGTGCTTCCAGTGTGCAATCCAACCCCTTCCCTGTCTCAGCCACAGTTCAGGGCCACTTCATGGTGGTTTTGTGCTCCCTGTTAATGTCAGAGGGGGATGATGCTGGGTTCCTTTCACAGGCTAGAAGTTTCTTAACAGAAGCAGCAATTCTAGCAATGCAGTTCGGGTAAATGAACATATTAATAGGTCAAATTACAGGAAAGGAAGGACAGAATGCTGTTAATTTCTCATATGCATTCTTCCCTGTGTGAAATAAAATTTTTTTCTTGACTGAGCCAAGAGAATGTTGAAGCATAAAGTCCCCCGTTTTACCTCTCAGACATTTCCCTCATTGCCTCAGTCTCTCTTCCATTTTTCCTTCCTCTGAACATAAGATTTCCAGCTCCCTCCTATTTAGATGAACGGCAAGGTAGAGGATCAGAGGTAATACATTGGAATGCAGGTTATTGTGGGATCTTTATTATAGGTACTGGTAGCTACTTGCCCATCCAGCATCTATTCCTTGCTCTTAGTAACAACTCAGATTTTGTTGAGAGGCAATGTGCCTGGTTGAAGTATACCCTTCCTCAGACTCTACTGAAGGTAAGCATGGCTAGGTGTTGTAGTATGAACAAGAAGGAATTTGGGGGAAGCTTGTCTTTAATGATAAAGGTACCACACATTTCAACTTCCTTTTACATCTTCTTCCCTAGAATATGGGGACATGGCTGGAGATAGAATAATCTTCTTTGGACTTGAAATAACCATGTGATGAGTGCTTTATATGAATAATGGAGCTGCAGAAAGGTAGAAGGAAGCTGGGCACTGATAGGACTGTGGAGCTGCTGCCCAGTTCTGGAGAGTTGTCCTCTAGGTTTCTGCTAGGTGACAAGGCTGACCCTTATTTGACTATGGTTAAGTTTCAATAAATACTTGAACATATCATAGTAGTATTGTTCATAAAAGCCAAAAGATGTAAACAACCAAATGTTCAATATTTGATGAGTACATGAACAAGATGTCTTTTATCCTTATAATGAAATATTATTCATTTGGGCATATTGGCACATATTTGTAAACTCAGCTATTCAGGAGGCTGAGGCAAGAGGATCTCAAGTTTTAAGGTAGCCTGTGCAACTTAAGAAGATGCTATCTCACAAGAAAAAAAGAAAAAAACAGCTGGGGATGTAACCCAGTGGTAAAGTGCCGCTGGATTCAATCCCTATCCCCCCTTCCCCCTGCAAGAAAGAGAGATAACATCCACAATACTCCAAACCCTAAAACCCACCTCAGAGTAGAAAGTAAAGGTTATTAAAAAGATAGCTCAGAGGAGTGGTCTCAGATAAGGAGTCACTTAATGCCCCTCTTCCCCAAGCCATACTCAGTAAACATATTCCAGGTAAAACTGTGCTTGTTCTGTAAATACATTTCCTGACAAGTGCCTTAGTGCCTCCTTTCAATAAGATTGCCAAGCCTAAACTCTTCCTATGGGGAAATCTGCCTACAGCATAATCTCCAGGGTGACTCTACCCACTGTTAAAGTTATTATTTAGTGTCAATTACTAGATGTACCTTTCAACTTTCAAGGAGACACATTAAAGTGATGTGGCCCAAGGAATGCTAACAGCTCTTTCCACTTTTGTCCCCCCCCCATTTCTCTTCCACCTCAAAAATCTCTTCTTTATCACCACCCTCATACAAATTTCGGTGCATACAAACACCTCACCTTCCAAAAAAAATGTCCTTAAAGTTTGCTTTCAGAATTCATTACCCTCAAGGAAAAACTAAACTGTCACTGAAAACAATATAAGCATATAAACAGAATATGTAGTTCATATAAAACAACATATTAATAGGCCAAATTAGAGGAAGCAAAGGACAGAATGGTGTCAATTTCTGTTACTTACTCTAAGCTGGTATTGGAATAAAATTATTTTTGTATGCAAATGTGAATATAGATTGTTTTTATTATTAATATGAAATCACAATGAGATGATGGCCTTTCAAGAAGGAAAATCACTATTTATGTGTGTGTGTGTGTGTATAAAATTTGTCTTTTTTTGTCTTGTTTGTTTGGTACTAGGGATTGAACCCAAGGACATTTTATCACTTTTTATCTTTTGAGACAGGTTCTGGCTACATTGCTAAGATTGGCCTTGAATTTGCCATTCTCCTACCTCAGGCTCCCAAATCACTGGGATTACAGATGTGCACAACTGTTCCTGGTCTATATAATTTATTTTTTAAAATACCAGAATGGCAGTTAGGAAAGATTTCCAGATAAAAATCTATATGGGGTCAATCAGGATTACATAACATTTTCATTTCAGAACAGCATTACTCCATAAAATTTTCTGTTCTAATATTTCTCAATGAAACAATGGCCTTTCAAGTAGGAAGACAACATATAAAAATAAACAGCACAATTAATTTTTCTTTTAAATCCAAGAACCAAAATAGGAAAAACCTTCCAAATAAAAATCTATGCACAGTCAGTCAGCATTACATATTATTTTCATTTCAGAACAGAATTGCCACTTAAAAAATTCTAGTGTTTCTGGTTTATCAATGCAATTTTAGAAAAGTAATAAAATTCACTGAAAAATGATAATTAAGTGATCTCAAATAAGAGATTATTTTTGTAATGGTTAAATTCTTACATGTTAAATCACCTATTTCGGAGAGCTTTTTAAAAAACTTATGAGGAAATCCTCCCCGTCCCCCCCCCCCACTTTGTTTTGTTTTGTTTTGTTTAGGGCAAGGATTTTCAGAACCGGGATCTTTAGCATCATCAAGACAAAGGCTAAAGAAACACGAAATACAAGCCTTAGGTAGCATTCTTCATTGAAGGCAATTCAAATTTCGGCGCGTACTGGTTTCAGCGCCACAGAAGCATGCTCTAAAACACTACATTAATTTCTGTAAGTCACACAAATCTGGGCAGAAGTAATCATTTGGCCAAGTCGGGCGGCAAGAAGCCACAACACTGCCTCTGTAGGGAGTCTAGAGAATCTGCGCAGGCAGAGGCACAGACCAATGGAGAGACCTCGCGAGGCTCACCTGGACAGAGCGCAGAGCAGGGTTAAGTAGGGTCTATATTCCAGACTCACTTCTAAACCTCCAATATGCTCCAGGACGCTTCCTACACCACTTCCCTGACCCCAGGCCAGTGTGTTTAAATCAATACTGGGTGACAAATCATACCCATTCTTTGGAATTCATTGTTTGGAATTCAGGGACTCTGTGGCACATGAAAGTTCTTCACAGCTTATTTCCCTGTCCGTCTCTTGTCACTGAAGAGTGCATCTCTCTCCTAGTGCGACCATAGGGTTGTACCCCAAGCTCCCCAGTGCCACAGCATCCGGACACCCAGAAGCTGAAGACTGCAGGGCAGCCCCTCCTACTTGGAATAAGCGGCCAGAACTCGTTTCCCAACCGCGAGGAGCGCTCCCAGACCCCGGGAAGGGCTCGCATCCCAGAGATGTTTCCCAACGCCTAGACAAAAGAAGAGGCTGGGAAAAGTTGGACCAACTGGCACCTCCAGAGAACGAACAGGGCTGCCCCTAGCCCTCAGTGGCCGAGGCAGCGACGCGCTCTTAGAGTCGCGGTCAACTTTTCCTGTAAGCTTCTAAGCAACTTACTGGAAGTTGGGGCACCGGAGGGGTCAAGGGCAGCGCGGAGTGTCTGGTCTCGCCCCAGCCAGTTTCTTGCACCTTCCCGCGTACCTGCTGATGTATCCGTCCCCGTCCCCATCGCAAGTCTGGAAGAGGCGCCGCATTCGCTCCTCCTCGCCGGTGCTGGATGTGTCGCTGCTACTGCTACCGCCGCCTCCACCGCCGCTGCTGCCGCCGCCGCTGGCGCTCCCGGCCGCCGCTGCAGCTGCCGCCATCATGCGCCCGCTCCCTGCTCCGGAGGAGGACGCGCGGCGGCAGCAGGGATCTGTGCGGCGCAAAAGCTGCTCGCAGACCCGAACCTGCCTGACAACGGAGCATGCCCAGTGGTCGCCCGAGCGCTCCGGGCGAGGAATTCCACCTCTCCGGGTTTTGCCCGGGCTGGGAAGATGGGCTCTCTGGAATTGCCCGAGTAGGCACCTTGGGAGAGAAGAAGGTGGAGAGAGTGGCTCAGGAAATCAGAGAGCCCAGGGTGGCGACGGGGACGCGAGAGGAGGGAATTTCCACAGGGATGCCCTCCGGAAGGGTGTCAGCACGGTGCATCCAGCCACCACATAGGGTACCTGATACCTGGAGATGCTTTGGACAGAGAGCTGGTTTTCTGCAGAACTGCCCTGAGTAAAGGATTTCCTTTCTAGGAAAAACATAATATTGCCCTTTTGCAAACTCAGTACGGTGCGTGTGATCCCATTCTCCAACTTCTCTTGGTTCTGTATCCATAGATCCAAACGAGACCTGGGAATGTCTGTCCGTTATATGAATTTTTGACACCTGTTAAGAAATCTGACCCTCTCAGCCCTGACTTGTCTTCAGGTCTTGCAGTGGGTTCAATCTGGCCTTCTCATGCGGCATTGTGTATGTTAGGGCCATTTCTAGAAACCTCTCACTCACCTGGTCAGGCATCATTAGAAATATTAAATTTTTTTTTAGTTGTAGATGAACACAATATCTTTATTTTTATTTGTTTATTTTTATGTAGTGCTGGGGATCAAACCCAAGGCCTCACGCGTGCAAGGCAAGCGCTCTGCCACTGAGCTACAACCCCAGCCCCAACAGTATTAATCTCATCAATAATGAAAAAAACTGATGGTTTCATTTGATCCACACTACAGACCTAGAAGCTGCCTCTTATTATCAACCTTAGGAGTTAGATATGGGTTATTTTAAGGGGAAAAGGAATAGGCACATAATACAGGACAATGCCTGACACCAGGTGCTTAATATATGATAGCTCTCATTATCTTCAATTTACAGATAAGAAAACTAAGGCCTGAGACTTACTCAAGTTTGCAGGCTCAATAAGTGTCAGGGCAGAGGCAAGCCCAGGCAATCTAACTTCAGACTAGGAGCCCTTAAACACTACACTGTCCTTCCACCATAAGAGAAGGGGAACCACATGAACCAATTTGTGCTTTAGTGAATGATTCATTCTGTTCCAGGCTTTCTGCCAGAGATCTATGAAATCTTGTGGTGCTTTAAAAGCATGTCCACAGATTCTTTGGTGTACTTCTCATCAAGAGTTGGAGTCTGTTTTCTCCTCTTGAACTCCCTAGGACTTCCTGACTGCTTAACTTCTGAGGCTAGGTTGAAAAAGGCTACAGACTCTACCTGGCTCCCTTTCTTGGACTTGAACCTTTGAAACTCTGAGCTGCCTTGAAAGAAGTTTGACTACCCTAAAGCTTCCATATTGGAGAAGCCATGCAGAGACCACATAAAGACAAAAAGAGATGCCCAAAGAGTACCAGTTGTTCCAACCAGCAGATGTTTGAGCTTTCCCAGACCTGGTGCCAGGCATGATGATGACGCTAGCCCAACATACAGCAACTGATAAGATATTCTGAGCAAGAACAGTCTAGCTGAACCCAGTTGACCCTCCAGAGCTGTGATGATGACTGTAAAATGATTTTTGTTGTTTTAAAGCCTTTAAGTCTTGAAGTTTATTTATTTATGCAGCAATACAGAACTGAAACAAGTCCATAGGTTGGGGACTGTCTGCAAGGTCAGAAGGAAGAGGCCTCTGCCTTCTTTCTCCCCTGCTCCATTCCATTCATCCAAGAATTTCAAGTATTTCAGGGCACTGATGACCATACAATGACTAGACCATCACCTTAGAAAAATTTTATGAATCCACCCAAAAATATTTGCTTGAGAGATGCTACCAGCATCACAGATATTTCTATCTACAATAGAACAAGAACCAAAGCCCATATTTATACAGTATAAATTTTAAAATGTTTACTTTTCTCATTTTCATAAAATAAGAACCATGATTATCTGACAATACAGCCAGACAGGAATTGTCACCCTCAAATCCTCCCATAGGATTACTGGTGGAGGACCAGAAAACAAGAAAGTCAGGCATCCAGTCATAAGTACAACATGCATAAAGAGTCTGGAACCCAAACAAATTTCCAGGATTTGAATGAATCTTTCTATGACCACATCCATATAAACAGAAAGTGGAGGGTAAACCTCAACTAATGATATGTCAAAGCAAAGACTATATTTCTTTTTAGAAAATATGTATTATAGCTCTGGAGGTTTAAATTTAAACTATATGGAAAAAAAGAAATTTAAAATTATTTTGAATTGAATCTGTACATACCAAAAGTGGAATTTGACATATTTCCTGAACAACATTATCTCATGCTTGGGTAACTCAGAAATGGATGAACAGATAGGTTCAACTTTCCAGAAAAGAATCTGCTTCTGTGTTGATATGAAGCATTTGAAATTTCAGCTGAAAAGGTTATTGGAGTGAGTGATACTTATAAGACATTGAAAATAGAGATGCCATATGAATGTAAAAATGATAAATATAAGGTAGAGCTTGGAATGGGAGCAATAGCTAAGACTATAAATCTAACAGTACTGGTTATGTCATAATTTCAAAGGTTTTATGTATTTATCTGAGATGAGTACACAGCTCAACCTCTTTGTCTTTATCTAGTTCTTTTTTTTCCTTCTCGGATTCCTCTTGGTTATAATTACCCTTCATATTTATGTAGTACATTTCAAAATGCTCTGTGCATATTATAAGATATAAGATATACTGTCTCATATGTCTAAAGTTACCAGTTAAATAAATAAATCAACTGCAGTACATTGTAAACTTGATTATCTGGGGTTTGCCCTTTCAAATTCCATTTACCTGAGCTAATACTATATGCAAGAGTTGGAGTGGGGAGCTCCCTTTCTCTTGAGGGTGATTTTATGAGCTCTGCTAAATTCCCACTCCCTTCAAAAAGACTTCCTTGATCTGGGCTTGGTGGCACATGCCTGTAATCCCAGCAGCTCTGGAGGCTGAGGCAGGAGGATTGCGAGTTCAAAGCCAGCCTCAGCAAATTAGTGAGGCCCTAAGCAACTCAGCGAGACTGTCTCTAAATTAAAAAAAAAAAAAAGACTTTCTTCACTCTCCAAATCACACCAATCTTTCAGATCTTTCTTAGTTTGAAGTAGACATTTTGAAAGAAGAATCATAACATTTGCAATTTCTCTCCCCCCTCTACTTGTCCAATAGTATCAATTATTTATTATTAAATGAGCCTGCAAATTCCTGAGAGAAAATAGGGAAGGAGAGTTAAGGAAAGTTTAATAAATTTTTATTGAGTCTTCATCAAAAATCAGTAATAATGTTTAAAACTTTACCTTAATCCTATGAAGTAGAGGATGAGGCAAGAGGATCACATGTTCAAAGCCAGCCTCGGCAAGGTCCTGAGCAACTTAGTGAGACTCTGTCTCAAAATAAAAAAAAAATAAAAAGGATCTTAGCAAGGTCCTAAGCAACTTATCAAGACTCTGTCTCAAAATAAAAAATAAAAAGGGCTGGGGGTATGGCTCAGTGGTTAAGTACCTCTGTGCTCAATCCCCAATAAGAGAAGGAGGGCAGGGAGAGAGGGGACAAACCTGAGAGCAACCTTGCCTGACCTCACATTTCTGAAATGGTATTAGTTTCCTATTTCTAGCTTCACAATGAAAATTTATTATCTTAAAAATGATACAAATTTAGGGCCTGGGGTTGTGACTCAGTGTTAAAGTGCTCGCCTAGCATGCACAAGGCACTCGGTTCGATCCTCAGCACCACATAAATATAAAATAAAGATATTGTGTCCACCTAAAACTAAAAAATAAATATTTTTTTAAAATGATACAAATTTATTATCTTACAATTCTGGAGGTCATAAGTCTTAAATGAGTCTCACTGAGCTAAATTAAAGTGTTGGCAGGACCAAGTACTTTCTGGAAGCTGTAGCAGAGAAATATTTCTTTGCCTTTTCCAGTTACTGGAGGTTACCTGCATCACCTTTCTGGTCAGCAGAAGAGTATTATCAAATCTCTCTCTGATTTAGTTCCCTTTTCTGCCTTCCTCTTAAGCTATAAAGGACCACTGTGACTTTACTAGGACCACACAATCTAGAATCTTCTTGGTATATTAAACTCAGCTGATTAGTAATCCTAATTCTATTTGCAACCTTAATTCCCCCTTGTCATATAACAGCATATTTATAGGTTTCAGAGATTAGAATGTGGTTATTTTTGGAACAGACATTATTCTACCTAACACATCAAATAGTTCTTTATTGAAATGAAATGGCTAGGCCTTTATACCACTGCCTCAATTGGTCATTGGATGTAGATCCCCAATACACTGTATCCACAACCCAGGAAGCTCATGATCCTGGGCAAGGTGTCTGTCTATGGCAAAGTCAATTCCTCATAGACTGATACCTAAAGATTATCTTCTCATGGATGTCTTAGCAGCTGGGAAAACAAGTTCTTTCTTGAAAGGAGAAATGGATGGTGCATTTCCATCTTAATCACAGTCCACCCCTTGAGTCATTTGGATCACTTCATATATGTCAGTGGAACAGCTCCTCCTGGATTCTGATGGATCTCTGTTTCTACAGACTTTTTTTTTTTCTTTTTTGGTGCTGGGATTGTACCCAGGGACTTATGGGTGCCAGTGTAAACTCTACCATGGAGCTACACTCTCAGCCCTTCTGAGACAATCTTAGAAGAGGAGGCTTAGTGGGAAAATGATGACTGGTACAAGTCTTGGGGTCCCAACTGATGTTCATTGTCTCCCTCCTCGACTAGAATTCCTTCATTCTTAGAACCAATCTAGGTTACTTAGCAGGTGACACAACCCAGATGGTTATCTCTGATAAGGATGATATTGATGCACTTGTTCATTTATTATTACAACTGGAAAAGGGGTTAGCAAGAGGTACCCAAATCAATCATCTGTGTGCTATGTTCTCCTTGCC